GTTTCTAATTTATTCATCTCTAATTTATTGTAAATATATTGAATAATTCTGATTAATATATTAATGGAAATGAATATTGGCATTTTTATTTCATGTTCCTTGTTCCTTGACCAAATGACTAATCCCTGTTTTCGAAGTGCAATTCTTTTTGTCTGATTTAGTTATCAATTAGAGAATATTCCAAAAGATTTGCAACCTTGTAAACCAACAGTGATTGCTAGAAACTGTTATATAGATTCATTTTTGCTTTCACATTCGTAATGATACAGTAGCATTGTTAAACATGTATATTTATCACTATCGAGCAAACCAGTTGTACGTCCTTTACGTTGAACAAAAGTGAAGGTCGATGTTCCGTAGACTTACTTAGTACGTAGCTAAGAATTTCAGTGTATGTGAGTTCCGGTATAAGTTCGATATACAGTAAAGAACAAAACTGAACCAAAGGCCTTGGAGAATTAAATAACTTCTTAAAAATCGACCGAAATTATCCGAATTTCTTTTCAGTAGTTAGGTGGATTAGTTTATTAAATGATATATAAGGATAATTTCAATAAAGTCAAATTTGATTGAAATTGTAAATAACTAACTAATCTAACTATTCAAAGAAACTAAAACTATGTGATCCGGTTTTAAAATATTTATTCGAATTTAAAAGTGACGATTAAGTTTTGATCTTTACTGTACATACGTATGTAGTTCGAACCAGTCAGTCAGTCAACTTTTATTATTATTGCAGAGGGAATATAACCAGAAAGGTCGTTCGTTGCGACCGGTTACGCGAGTCCGCTAAAAAAGAACGGGAACAATTAGAAAGTCAGAGAATGTACATATGAATATGTAATACGAGCACTTCCAATAGATGTGGGCTGGTAATCTTATTCGTTCCTGGTAATCATAATTAATAAACGTAGATTAAGATACTTTTATCTGTAAGTTGCGCTAATGTCAAAAAAAAAGTCAAAACATAAAATTGCATTATAGTTATGATTACGAGAAGATAGTTACCCGTGTCAGGCCTCATTGTACATTCTTATAGAAAATTAAAAACTACATTTCACATTCACAGAAATTTCGTGTAATTTAAATAATACATTACATAGGTATCCAACTTTTCATCTTCCATATACTTTTATACATTACAATCTGCCTGTTTCTCGCGCATTGCATTTTCTTACAGATGCATCATATCCGCAGTTCAATCATTAGAATTTGATAAATACCACGTAAATGATAAGCGTGCTGAGGTTTGTGCAGTCACACGAAATTAAAAACTTACAGCTTGTCGATGCCTAATTTTCCTCGAACAAAAGAAGAAAGTTACAACGGCATATCTGTGACATTGCGTTCTTTACAATTAAAAATATCAGCACATAAATCCTACTGTGGAATTTTTATTTACAACATTGATATCATATCCTCTATTGATCTTTTCTTTAACACCCTGGAATGAAGATCTCGATTTTTGAATTTAATCAACAAGTAATATTTAACATTCCCTTTCCAAACTTATTTTATACTTACAAATACCTAATATTATTCATATTATATTCCTTATACAAACTGGTACAATTCTTCACATTTCCATCTCATATATTATGAGCCATTTCACGTTCAATTCTAATGGCAAGTTAGAAATTCGTGTTTTCATCGAGAAAGCAGAGGTACAATTATTATTGCAGTAGTTCGTTAGCGAAAAAAGAAACAAGAAACAGCAGGGGGCACAAAGAAATCAAAATAACGAGCTCAAACTTTTTAAAAAATCGTTTGGTAGATTCTTGATACTCTCCTCGATAATAAGTGGTAAAATGATACCTCCGAAGCATCGCGTCTCCACTTCAAAAACTTAACAAACCAAGACATCAAACGAATTGCCTCGTAATTATGACGATCATTTCAATAATAATGTTTTCATTAAATTCCAACAGCATTGAATTTCATGTAACTTTTACATTTTCTAATTAAATAAGCGTTCATTTTATTTCATTGAAAACGTATTTCTTTTATGTCAATGAAATTATTGTCAGCGAAATGATCGTCTGTGATTTATAAAGTAAACGCACGACCACCCTGAAGAGTACGGTAAGGACTAGAAGATCTAGTAATAACCAAAACTGATGTCGTGCAACGGCGGCGAGCCGCCCTGAGGTAGGGCGTAGTCTCTGGCCAGCTGATCGAGTATGCCACCGCTTTGGCTACGTGTTTGCGGTTGAGAACGGTGTTCGTGGACAGGTGCAGGGCCAAATTGAGCGGGTCCTTGGTTATACAGCTGAGATGGGGGCGCCTGATCATCTGCCTGCTGAAGAATTTGAGTTTGTCTAGGGGAAGCAGGCTGGGGAGCAGCCGGCGTGAAAATTGGTGGCTTAGGAACGCTCTGTTGTCTGGGCGCTACCTGTGGCGAGTAAACAGCCTGGGTGTGAGATTGCGGTTGTTGATAAGCTGGTTCCTCATACTGATACTGTTGCTGAATGGGTGCAGGACGTGGTGCAAGCGCAGGAGCAGCTCTGAGAGGTTGCCTGGCAGCCGGTTGTGCGTATTCTTCTTGATAGTTCTGCGCCTGCAGAGCTTCTCTACTGGTAGTCTCGTCCACTAACGTGGGAGGTGCGACAGTGATGCCTTCACCCGCTGGTTGGAAGCCGTACTGGTTTGCTCCGTACTCGACCACTCTAACTTTTCCGGTGTCGTCTACGAATCCGTATTTACCCTTCACCTCACCAGTTGGAAGTTTCGTTTCGATCTTGAACGAGCCGTCTGCGCCCTCGAAACCGTACGTATACGAGCCGTCCTCGTTGTGCCTGTTGATCTGCTTCAGAATCGCGACTGGCGTTGGTCGAGGGGTAGAAGGTTCGGCCGATTGCCGGTTTTGTGCCGAGTCGGTGGCGTAGCTTCGAGGCGTCGGATGGGCCGGCCTCGGGGACTCGTACGGTGAGTACTCTCCGACATAGTTTTCACCTGGTTGCTGGTATTGCTGGCACGATGCCACGAGTATCGACGCAACCAACAGGAATATCTGAAGAAAATAAAGTTCTTCGAAATGCCGAGAAAAAACGGAAACTGACTATTATTACTAAATAGTAAATTGCGGATGTTTATGCTCTATTGTCATAAATAAAATTAAATATAACATAGTGATGTGTACATGGTAATTTGTATTTTGTTTAAATTTTTTAAACTGATATAAAAATTATATATCCCAAGAAATACGGGATTTGCTTATGAACAATGTACACATGTTTCTTGTAGTAAACGTATGATTCACATTGAAATATACGCACAGCGTTATTAGATCACCAACGTCGTTGTGATTGATCGCTTCCTTTCTATCCAATTACGTGGCAATACCTCATAAACAGTTCGTAAAGATCATCGACCGTAATTATTAAACCACTCATTACTTCCGCCGTTGATTTCTACCCACCGATTAACCGATTATAGTTCCTAGTAAAGCCTGATGACGCAACCGAGTTCGTGCGTAATTCGATCCAATTTCTCATTTCAGTGAATCAGTCTAATCGATTTAACGTAACGTACAATTATTAACGATAACTCATCTTCTGAATCCTGATTTAACGTTTAACAGGATCACGTAATGGTCTAGAATTATTTAGTACAATTCAATTAAAAGTGCAACGAAAATACATGTTAGAGATTCACTATGACAATCACTCTAAATTCCGTGTTCATAGTTGGCGTAACGCGGAACGATAAATCTGTTATGAGACCGATAATCGCCTACCATAAACTGTAATCTTTGGTAAAAAGGTCCGCGGCGAAGCAGCGATGCATGACCTACCGAGTCACCAGAACCTTAACCGCCAGACGTGACTTTATTACACGAACGGATCGAATCAGATAACCGCAATCGAAGGATACCAGATTCTTGAATCGCGATACATGGTAAAAGTCATCGGGTTCACGCGTGCAATATGTGCAAATGCAGTTACTGAAATTTATTAAATTGGAAGAAATGATTAATGTTTGTACAGGAATTTGTTTCTAAAGACAGTAAGTGGCAAGAAGGCGAAATTTGACGAAAGTAAATTTCAATTTCTGGACACAATTAGTCTGGCAGAAAGCTAATAAACAATTTAAAACAAAAAATCTGCAGTCAACCATAGAATTAAAAGTATCCTGTTATATCTCCGCTTCTGGGGTAGAAGAACTAATTTTGGTACTTATTTAGAACAGGGTGCATCTCACCGATTTCAATGACGCTGAAATCAGGGTCATCATTCTGGATAAATTTTTTTAAGTTCTTTAAGTACAAAAATGACTATAACTTATTTACAACGTTACTTATATCTGGATCCAATTGTACATTTGCAGAGATCGTATTCGAAAACTATGTGATTTGGGCGTCGTACTTCCTGTAGTTCCGCCCGAACGATCACGAAGGAGAAACACTTGCCTCGCATTCTGCTCGATATAATTCCCGAACGTGTTCCTGCACGGCATAACTTATTATATAATTCTCTTTCTCTGAAATAACGGGTGGACCCGTTCTATGCCCGCGCACTTTCATTTTTCAAAAAAGGACGACTCATGAAATGGAAATGAACTAAATAAGAAACGATTTTTCTGTTAGTATTGTAGGGGGCACGAGAATTCCTTGTCAGTTTAAAATAAGACTAAAACTGTTATACTTAATATTATTCTTGATTTTT